TGATGATAAAACTAAATTTAACATCATCATTTTCTCTGCCTTCTTGTAGGTGGTTCGGTTATGCCAGAACTCCAAAAAAAAAAAAAAAAAAAAAAAAAAAAAAATATATATATATATATATATATATATATATATATATATATATATATATATATATATATATATATATATATATATATATAATATAACACACAAACACACACACAAAATCAGAATAGAGGTTATGCAGAGCTAGTGTTTCTTCCCATTCTGCTAAACTTCTGGTCAACGATTAATGTGACTTTTTTCCATTGTATACAGTTCCTTTTACTGCCTCGATGTTGTAATGCAATTAAAATATAATCAGATAAATAGACTTTGGCATTCATTTAGTTGCTCAAGCGTAAAACAATAAGAAAATCCATTTACACGCACGCGCCCGTCAGAATTAGCAGGCTAGTGCAGAATCTCTATTGAATTTACTGGGGTAAAATAAATTTTCATATTTTAAAGACATGGCAGGGAAAAATGTAATTTAATGCAGTGCTTCTCGTACATTCTAAGACCCACTTTATATCGGATATTACTCAGGCAGTGGAGATTGCTGATTTTAAAAGAAAACAAACCTGAAATGTGCCAATTTTGTAACTGCATACAGTAAAAACCCTTTTTTTCTTTTTTTAAATATTTCCCAAATGATGTTTAACAGAGCAAGGAAATGTTTCACAGTATGTCTGATAATATTTTTTTCTTCAGGAGAAAGTCTTATTTGTTTTTTTTCGGCTAGATCAAAACATCAAAATTATTAGCTCCTTTAAGTTATATATTTTATAACCATCGTTATACAATAACTTGGCTAAATACCCTAACCTGCCTCGTTAACCTAGTCAAGCCAATAAATGTAACTTTAAGCTGTATAGAAGTGTCTTGAAAAATATCTAGTCAAATATTATTTACTGTCATCATGGCAAAGATAAAATTAATCAGTTATTAGAAATGATTTATTAAAACTGTTTAGAAATGTGCTGAAAGAATCTACTCTATTAAACAGAAATTTGGGGGGAAAAAGCAATGTATATAGGCTTTGTTTGCCTTTTCTGCAAATATTGCAAACTCACACCTTCAGATTTAAAGCCACTATTAACACATGGTTTAAATCTTGAATCTAAATCCTAAAATGGTAGTACCCATTACCCATCATAGTTCAAATAATATGATCATTATTAAGCTGTTTAAAAGACATTTGAGACACAACATAATTAGAACATTTGTCAAAATTTGCAGAGAGACAATTTTGAGTTTATTGCCATATTCGCTTCTCTGCTATAATATGGATAAAAACACGTTTAAGTGAATGAACACATCCAGCTGCAGTTTAAAACGGAATCTTACATCTAAAAACTAACAAGGTAGCACCCATCAAGGATCAAATAATATGATCAATATTAAGTCTAAATAAAGCTGACCCCACTAACGTGCTTTTTAACATGTTGACTACTTCATTAAAGTTTTATCATGTGACATTCTACAGCGTCCATGATTTATGGATAAAAGATTTGTTTGCCTTTCCTGCAAATATAGCTAAATCCCACCCTCCTTATTAAGCTGTTTAAAAGGCTTAATTTATTTTTTTACACATTCTTTAAGAATAGGAATATCTCGCAGATATTTCACAATATAATTATAACATTTGTCAATATTTGCAGAGAGAGAGAGATTCTGAGTTTATTGCCATATCAGCTTCTCTAGCATGGCCAAAAAAAGATCAAGTTTAACACATTTTATAAATATCACTTTTCTGTAATTATAAAAATATTTTAACAATTGTAAGTCATCAATAGCAATAAACAACGCACAAGATTAAACACATAAATAATAATAATAAAAAAATCAAAAACAGTTTTTAAAGGTTTACTTTTGATAAAAGTTGTACACGTTTAGAAGTTGTACACGTTCATTTAAGGTCTCTCCAGATTATAACTTTTGTCTGATAACATTAACAATAGGGCATTCCACAAGAATATGTTTAGAAGTTTGATTTCTGTAGCAATATTGACATTTTGGGGGTTCTTCTTCTTTGAATAAATGTTCATATGTGAGTCTTGACTTGTGTGTCTGATATGGCATCTTCTGCAAACAATCTCGTCATGTCTTGAGTTAAAGAAAAATGAATTTCAGACTGGATTTCAAAACGTTTATTTTCTGAGCACTGATCCCATTCTGCTTACCATTTGTTAAGAATATGGCCTTTTATTAGTGGCTTTAAAAATCTAAAGGTGGGATTTAGCAACATTTGCAGAAAAGGGAAACAAAACTGATATACATCCATAAATTATGGGCGCTGTGTAATGTCACATGATGAAACTTTGAAGTGATGCTTTCTAAATAAGTCACATTAAAATACATGTTAGTGGGGTCAGTGCTATTGAAAAAGTAAATATGACAGGGTTAATAATGTATTAGTGGAAGTTAGTCAATACATTAATATTAACTAACAGATTGAAAAGTATGATAAATTTTTGTGTGCGTTTATGAAGAATAGTTGGTACTGTTTTTGACTCCTTTACACATAAGCTCTTCACACGTTCTCAACTGATAAAAATATATGCACGCACATACAATGACTGCATTCAACGCCGCAAGCAACACTTTTGAATGGTTAGTCACTTTTTTCTTCCATTTTTAAAAACGACAGTATGAATACCAAGTCAACAAACTATATTATTAATTTTCATTTATGGTCCAAACAAAGAGAGTGTGAACTGACCCTAAAGAAGAATGCTGATCAGGTTTTATGTTGTTAGACCAATCACATATCAGGATGCAAATACTCTATCATAAACAACAACAAAATAGAGCCCTTTTATGGGCATGTGGCTGAATAATAAATGATCATTATAAGGAAATCAAAAGTGTACATAATTTATGTTTGTAAATAAAGAGAGTGAAGTATACAATAAACACTTTAAAAGGGGAAACCCAAAGTCAAACACAGAACTTCATAATTAAAGTTTCTTATTTGACTATGCAGTGTTTTTGCATAGACGCAAGGATGAATGACAACTGGGTTCTTCTGCATTTTGTGAGAAGTTAAATATTTATAGGTGACTGAGAAAATATAACTTAATGGAAAACATCAAAAAGTGAACATTAGATAATGAATGGCCAAGTCAGGATTAACACATTCTAAAGTCACATTTCTTTCAGATTAGACTGTACTTCTCCTCATGTCAAGTATTCGGAATCATTCATCCTGACCTTTTTCACTATTATTTAAAGTTTTCTAAAAGTGGAAATTTACAAATGTTACATTGCAAAAACGGGGAGATTTGCTTATGAAGACAGAGTGATACATCACATGCGCACTAACCAAAGACCCAGTGTGAAACTAAACAAATAGGAAGTCGCAAGCTCTAAATCATAAAGCATTAACTGCTTCTGTTCTCCATAATAATTCTTAAAATCTTCCTTAATAACCCAAATCTAAAAACATACAAAATACTATTTTATTTTTAGGTTTCTAAGTGGTTCCCCATGTCAGAGAATAAGTTTAAACTGAATCCCCTGCGACAGATGCACCGTTTCTCTCATGTATCATTGTGAAGATCACAGGAAGTGTGAGGTCAGTAACCACAACTTTTTTCCATGAACTGCAGCTTTAACTTTTGTATTGTGAGGCAGCAAATTCAACAAAAGAAAGCCACTCTGTTAGACAGATGTTCACAGTTTTACCGTTTTACTTGACAAGCTGGGTTGGTAAAAAAATTTTAGTTGTGGAAAATGAACACTTGTAATGCAAATGATGATATATTTATAACAGTGTAGCCAACCTAGATATTTACATAAAATGTATGCATGCTGTTATTATTCCATCTCTTCTGATGATATTTAAATTCTTATTTTTTATTATCAAAACTCTCTGTACTTTTTTAATTTTGGGGGAAAGCATAGAATACAATGCAAGACAATAATGGTCGAGACACTGCTCAAAAGCCTGTCGGATTATGTTTGACACACTTGCTTAACAGCATTTCTCTTACAAAATTATGTACAGGAAGTTCAGCAAACCAGAGTTGCTATAGTCCAGTGAATGATTCTCCTAAACCAATAACAACCAAATGTTATTCTTATTTTAAGAAAATTCACAGAGAGAAGGTAAACAGTTTTACAGTTAAACAAAAGACTTGAAAGACTACAAACCAACTACACACACTATATGTTCAGATATGGCGAATTGTGGTTTTTGCCTATACTAGCAGCTCTATTCATACACAACCATTACACCAAACTTGCATGTATTGATTAGATTAAACACCAAAACAACTAGCTAGCTTCTATAACAGTTGCATATTCAGATTTAGTGACATTTTTTAAATTAAGCTGGAATGTTTAAGAATGTCAAATTAACACAAACAAAAGTAATGGCACTTCCCGTTTATCCAAAAAGTCAAACTAGTGAAGGAAGTAGAGATTGTTGGAGCAAATCAATCTACCAACTGTCCATTATCCACGTCTACACTGAGTAAATGCAATTGAACCAGCTGACTGACCAGCAACAGGATCAGTATATCGTCACATACTAGTTGTTTAACCAACTTAAGCTATTTTCATGCCGTTGCCGACTGTATTATGGAGAAGGCACATTTGAAGAAGGATGTCCAAACCATTCTTCCCAACCATAGATTTAACTTACAGGATAACTACTGCAACAAGCTACTTAGCTAGCACGACTAGCAGAGAACCCTTTAATTATCACAATTCCTATTAAGAAAGCAGGAGTGATCGGAACCACAAATGACATGTTCTATAAAATTGAATATTCCCAGAGTGTTTGACAAGCTGAATATAGTTTATTAGCCTGCAAACCATTCAGCTAATTGCCTTAGCAGAGCTGCCCTGCCATATTGAATTAGTACTTGTCCGTGCAGGCCATCCGGCTAAGCTAACTAGAGACCGAGGCTGTTAGCTAGAGCGTCTCTGTCGGCTATCTATCGCTTGTGTTTTGTTTTATAGACACCCACCTTATCCATGAATTTCCAGCATTTCTCCACCGTCTTTTTGTCCACGGCTCCGGGCTGGTGATGGGAGTGGTGGAGGTGATGGTGAGGCTGAAAAGCGTCCTTCATCATGCCAATAAGCCCCCCACCTTTCTTCAGATTTCCTGCCATATTCGGACTCCGGAGTGTTGTTTTCGCAGTCAAAATATAACTGGGATCGGATACCCCCCGGTGAGGACAGCGCCCGAGTCCGGTTCGGTTCGAGCGAGGGTCCGTCAAGGGGGGGAGAAGCGCTTTACCGATGCAAGACTCCCATTAAATCCCCCGTGCAGCAAACCGCCGTTTGACGCTGTGTTTAAAAACGCTCGGGGAGGGCGGCGGAACCCGTTTAAAAATAACGCGTAAAAATAAGTTTTGATGGGTGTCTGGACGTGGTAGAACAACTGCTTTCACATCGACACCCCGTGCGTGATGTTCCCTTTTCCTGCAGCTCTCTTTCTCTATCTGTGCGCTTCTGTAGAGTGATGTCCGATTCGTTCTTATGAGTCGGATCTTTTCAATTGATCGAATCGGTTCACACCGCCGGACTGAAGCTGTTTGAGATGTAAACTTCACTTAGTATGTTTTAATGCTGGAGTTTTAAGTATTTTAAATGCCACGTAGCCCCAAACTTAATCATACCATTTCAAAGGGTTTCAATTTCTAAATTTAAAGGCATTTATATAGTTTTTTGTATGAAAACCCAATTCATATTCTGAAAAAGATTATATATATGGGTCTGAAACATTATAAAATAACTACCTCCTAATAAGATACTATTACTAATTCTTACTTCTAATTTACTTTATTTTCTACTGATTTAAAAACCTAGTCAATTATTTAGCCAATGTCCTCATTTATTAATTTATTCTAATGATTTTTTCTTTTATAACATATTATAATCTAATTTATCAATTGATACTTTATGATTATACTTTTAATTTGGTATTATGTTTTATATATATATATATATATATATATATATATATATATATATATATATATATATATATATATATATATAAAACGAAGTTTAAAAAAATTGTAGAATAGAATCGGTTCTTAATGAGGCCTTGTTCTAAAGAGCCGATTCGCGTAAATGAATTGAACTTCCCATCATTACTTTTGCAACGGGAAGTTCGGCCTGACAAGACACGAGGGCTTCCCAGCAAAACCTGTAAAGGAACGGAAAAAAAAACGTGTTTCCTCACAATCACCTTCTCCATTTGAAAATAAATGCTGTATGGTAAAATTGTATCTCGTACTAAACAGACATATTAGGGTTAACGCCGCCTTTCTCCCTTTCTCCCCCTCCTATGCTCGTGTGACTGCTCTTCCTGTTCCGCCTGTAAAACCTCGCCCTCTTTCATGTCTCGCCTTGTCTCCGCCTACTTTCCTGCTCCTCATGCGAATGTACGAATCCTACTATGGTAAAAGGCGTGGCTTATTAATATTAATTAGATCACGAAATAGGAGCAGTAGGACGGTTACCAAGCAATGAAAGCATGGCGTAGTTAATATTCATGAGCTACGTAGTCGCCGTCTGTGGTCTAACGAGATGAATTATGCATTTTTGTTCAAACAGTCAATAAATTGTGAGATGAAGCGTTTTATTTTTGTTCACAGGGATGTTCATTTGCTCATCTCGTATCATTTCCGTTTATTAAAACGACACATTTCCATTCCAGAAGTAATATGAGGTTGTTTTTAAACAATTCAAGCGATTCAGAACTGCACAGGAAGACTTTATTGTCCATAAAACAACACACACAGCGCGGTTTAACGACTACACACACTCCAAGGCAACCAGCCTGTAACGTGGTGTAATGTGGTTACGTAGAACAACAGTAATCAGTATTCGGGACAGGCGATTGGCTAAGATCACTGACCACGCCTACGTGCTGCCAGGCGGTTTTGTGTACACAATACAATTAACTTTTCCCTCCGTCCGAAAGATGCAGGACTAGTAGGATTTTTACATCATGCCGCCAAAGAAGAAAGGAAAAGGAGGCAGCAAAAAAGAAAAGACTAAAAAAAGCACGCCAGAAAAGGGTGCTTTTGTTATACTATAACATTTTTATACACAAAATAGGAGTTGGTTTTTGACTTACATGTTTCTGTTTCCCACCCTCATATAGATGATGGACTTACAGAGAAGTACAGGAGAAGTGTCTTAGATGTGTCTGTTTTAAAGGAACACCTTGGTAAGGCAAATATAATTATTTATTGGACTGTTATTAATGTTACATTTGTTCTCTGCTTCATTACGTTATATTCAAATAAAACACTATAAAGACATAGTTCACCAAAAAAGAAAATTCTGTAATCAGTTACTCACCTTTGGTTGTTTCAGCCTTTTTTATTCTGTTAAATAAAAAAAAAAGTTATTTTGAAGAAAGCTACAAACCTGTAACCTCTGACTTATTTCTAATTCCTACTTTTGGGGGCCCTAAGCAATTCCAGGTATGGTGCCCAAGCACTGAAACTCAAAACATTTTCTTCTTTATAGATATATAATAAACTGCATGTTACAATATATTTTAAGTGAAACCATTATCTTCTAAATGTAAAAATGAAATACAAAAAATTCACAAATAAAAAAACAAGTTCACAAACTTATTTTGTACGGTTAGTTAGCCGTATATATGATTAGATTTTAATATTTGCATGTGCAGTACGTAAGTATTGTTCCACGATTCATAAGGCCCCTGGTTTTGAAAGGAAGTAATAACGTTAAAATCTTAACAGTTATATACAGATTTTACAACATATGATAGAACATTTATAAACTACCTATATGATTAATTTAGGCAATTTTTGGCATTTGTTGGGGCCCCCTAATTTCCCAGGGCTCTAAGTGGCTGCTTACCTTGCTTATTGGCTAAGTCTGCCCCTGATGACAGTGTTGGGGAAAGTTACTTTTGAAAGTAATGTATTACAATATTGAGTTACTCCCCCAAAAAGTAACTAGTTGCATTCTCTAGTTTTATGGTAAGTAATGCAATACATTACTTTTGTATTACTTTTGTTTTTCTTTTCATAACCTTTGCTAAGGCTTGAGGCTCTTTCAGAACTTTTAATTATTATTATTGTTTTAAGGGAAGCTGTGCTATTAACAATGCACTGTATAACTAACACAATCTCATTGCCATTTGTAACTTTTTGATTTAGAGGCTAATTCGTATGAATTCCTACGATATCCTTCGTACAATTTAATACGTTTTGCTTATCCCCCAATAACGATTGGGTTTAGGGGTTTGGTGCCTCGCCTACTTTTTAAAATAGTAAATTTTCATATGACTGAACTCTAAACTCTAACCCACTAAACTGATAAAACATACGTCTCCTCATGAGATCAGGCTGGTATAACCTTAATTTTCCTTAAAAAAAAAAACAAACTATTAAAAAATTTATTTTAAATAAATAAAAAAAATTCCTTAATAGAAAAGGTTATCTATTATCTGAGAACTTCCTGACCCCAGAGCTATGCCGTATTTACAGATTACTGAAAGTTTAAAGAAATCGTTTGCTACTTTTTGTACTTTTTATCTTATCAGTCATGTAAAATCATTGTCCATTGAAACAATCCCCTCTCCTTTTCTTTGATGCATTCAGAATAATGAAAACATTCTCTCAGTGAGTGCCTGATTCAACCTGACATCTAAACGTAGACGCCTGGCTAAAATAAGGCTAAATTTGGGCTGTCAGTGAAAATCTAATAAACGTCTAAGAATAGCCCAAAACTAGACTAGTCATTAAATAGACAGATTAGACAGACTTTATATGTGTAGTCATTTATTTCTGTTTCTTTGGTGACTCTAGTTTCTAGATGTCTAGTTTTGGCCTACTCTTAGACTTAGACTTAGACCAAATTTAGCCTTGTTTTAGCCAAGATGATCAAGTTTTAGACGTCTATTAGACATCTTTTAAAAACAAAAAACGCTTGCTGATACTTTTTTGAAAAGCGAATTAATTAAAATAAAAAGTGACTTGTGTTAAATAAAAAAAAAGTCATTCAAACATTATTACTTAATTTTCTTAAAGCAATGCGCTACTTTAACAGTTATTTAGAAAAGTAAAGAAAAGTGTTACTTGTAATGCATTACCCCTAACACAGATCAATGGTTACAGGTTTTCATCGTTTTTCAAAATATCTTATGTGTACAACAGAAGAAAGAATGAATGTTTTTGAACCACTGACTCGTGGATGAGTTAATAGTGAGTAAATTTTAATTTTTGGCTGAACTACCCGTTTGTTGTCAGCACTGAGGAGTGGTGTGGCGCGTCAGGCCACAGCAGTGAGAGATGAGCTGAAGAGTCAAGTCAGAGATCTGGAGCAGCTGCTCAGTCAGGAACGATCAGACATGAAGGACATCACTGCAGGTCTTTATAAATACAGTACTTGCTTTATTCCAGGTTTACTGATAGAGTACACCTGCATCAACAATGTGCATTTCATAATATGATTTATGCTGTACTTCGCAAATGCTTGCCTTGGTGAAAATGAGAGTACAGTTAAAGCCTAGCTTAGGAGGTTTTCATTTATTATGTCAAGGGCCCCCCAATCTGATTATCCTTGTGAGAGAGAGCCCGATTGTCGGATTTCTTGACTCATTTTAGACTCAATTTATTCCATAAAAATATACATTATTATAAATAATATATTAAATGGGTCTGAAACATTATTTGAAAACTATATAGTTTGTTTAATGTTTTTTTTGTCAATTCATTTTAGTAGGCTACTGTATTGATTCACTTATTTGCACATTAATAACTTTAATGTTATCAAATTTTTACAACTAATGATTTTTAATTTATATATCTAAATTTCTTTAATCAAATTTTTAATAATAATAAAAATAGAATATTTAATCAAACTTTTATTTGCTTGTTTTCTGTAAACTATTATATTATTTTACCTTAATAGTCTTTATTTTACATTTATTCATTTTTTCCCCCATTTTTTTTGTCAGACCCTCAATTAAAAAAATATGTGCTCTAGAAAACAACACGTTGAAAAATACTTATTTATTTACTATGTTTTTCCAAGTGGACATATACCATCTTAAATAATGCTTCTGCAGATAAGGGTAGACTCGTATATAATATATTTTAAAGCATTCGTCTGAAAAATGAGAGCTTCTTAGTGCATTCCAGGGAATTATTCATGAGATATTTCCAAAATTAAATTGAGTGAGCTAACCACAAATGCATGGTATATGCTGTCATTTTTTAATATTGTTAGCAAAATAAAAATAAAGGAAATAACCATGAGAAAAATAATGTGGTGGACTGAAAAGAACTCTGATATACTATTTCACATTAATTACAAAGCATTACATTATTATGTCTATTATTGTCTAAAAGTTGAACATGAAAAAAATATGCAACTCATCCTGTAAAACTCACAGATA